CATCTGTGTGAACTAAATCCAACGGCTGTGTTGTTTTCTTTTCAGATTGTTTGCTAAACGGCTTTCTTGTCATTTTACATTCAGAACATATCTCACACACTTTTCTGGTTCCACAATATTGAATATGTAATCCATTTGTCAAATTTCTTTTCTGCATTTCTTTAATGGCATCAATATCTCTATGACCGAATATTCTGTGCCAGTAGTGTTGACAATTCGACGACTTGCATACAGCTGACATAACCTTTTGATGTTGACGAAGCAGAAATAGGCCTGAAAATTGCTCGGCTATTGCAATTTCCTTTCCCTCTTTAGTTTGGATACTTGCACTATTGTCTCTGAACACAACTTGAAACTTTTTCTTTAAAATTCTATTAACGGACAATAAATTACCTTGGAACGATGGTATATAAAGCACATTCTCGATAGTAATTTTGAATTTCTCATTTCTAGAATTTATTACTTCTATGTCACAATTCCCTTTTCCAGTTGACTCTACTACTTTGCCATTTGCTACAGTGACTCGTTCATTACAGGGTTTCAAGGACGAAAATTGCGACCGTTGAGAGCTTATGTGGCAGGTTGCTCCTGAGTCTAAAACCCAACCCGATGTATTGTTTAATGTTGAAAAACAAAAATTTCCACTAGCCACTTCTTGCTCTTTTGCTTCATTCACTTGGTTCCTGAATTCATACTTACTCCTCGACTTCTTAAATTTCCAGCAATCCTTCTTAAAATGGCCTTTACCTTTACAAAAATGGCATCGTTTTTCAGATTTATTTTCCCCAGATTTGTAACTCTTCAATACAGAATTCGTAGGTATATCCTTCTTATGGCGTTCGCATTCTTCTATTAGACAAGTTTCGACAGTTTTCATGGTAAGTTTTTCTACTTTTCGAGCTTCTAATGCCGTAACCAACATATCAAACGATGGTGGCAAACTGCTAAGTAACATTGCTACAAGCCAGCGTTCTGAAAAATTTTTCACCAATCGCCTCCAATTTTTCAAATAATAGTTTCATTTCCATTATGTGTTCAGATATATTTGATTCCATTGTGTATTTCATACCACAAATTTGCCTCATTATCCTTACGCTGCTTCCTAGTGTATCCTTTTCAAAATGACTCTTTAGGATAATCCAGGCATCGTGTGCTGTTTTCGCTTTCTTTATCAGCATAAGCTGAGAATCCTCAACTGAAAGTCCAATAATTACGATGGCGTCTTCATTGCTCTTCCTCCACATCTCATTTGGAGTATTTGGAACTGGATCAACCACACATTTCCATACGCCTTCTTTCCGCAAGATCAACTCCAATTTATATTTCCACAGATGGTAGTTGTTCTCATTCAATTTGGCAAAAGTTGTCCTTAAAATGTCCATGGCGAAGGGCCCATAACCTATTGCAAGGATCTTCTATGAAAGGATTTTCTTTTGCACTAATTTATAGTTATTGGAAAAACACACACGTCTATACTTCACAAAAGTTTATTTAGGAATGGAAAAATAAATTTTAATTCCAATATAAAAATTATTCATAAAATGCAAAGTATACTATGTTCCTATACAATATAAAAACCATAGCATACTACATAATGATATAACAAAGTAAATAATTGTTGAGTGAATTCAATTGATTCTCCAACAAGATTTAAAAAAGGAGCAAATCCTCGTTAATTCAAGAATTTTACTCAAATGCCAGTTGTCTACAAAGGAAATAAATGTGATTGGATGACGTAGGCCCTCTTTGAAGAATGGTTTCACAGAACATTTGTTCCAGGGGTATGTACATTTCTGGCCCCCAAAACATTCCTTTCACTAACATAAAATTGTTTAAAACTGCAGGCAAAAGAATTCCTGGGTGGCGAAAATCTTCCCGAAAAGGCTTATTTGCTTATTGATAATGCCCCATGCCATCCCAAAGAAAGATGAAGTCCCTCTTTCAGAGTTGCGTATTCAGCTAGCTGAGGATTCATTACATATTCATTCCATTGCACCTTTGCTTGAGGAAGTAGAACCGTTGCAGCAAATTACCTATTCCGAAATTGAGGAATCGATCGTTGAAACTAATATGGCGCCAACAGCACAAAATGAAGAGCATACCGATGATGACTTAACCGACGATGCTAAGAATAAACCGGCGACGAGGTACACAGTACAAAGAAAGCTACACCGGAGGAGACTATATCAGCATTTAATATTGGCTTAGAATTTGCGAAGCAAAGCAATGCTTTCTTAGAGGATATTATGACGCTCCAGAGACTCAGAAGCAATGTGGTGCTGAAAAAGCAAGTTTGCACAGAACAGACAAAAATATTAAATATTATCAGTTCCACGTAAAATGTGTACCTAATTATTTGAATTGAAATATTAAACATAACAAACTTGAATGCTAAGCAGATATTTACGTAAAATTGTATAGAAAATATTAAATCGGTTCCGATCCTGGTTTTCATTACGTGCAAGAATCGAGATACTACTGTAGCGAAATGATTGGTCCTATGTTGTTCCCAAGTTGCTTTCGAACGATCGATAGTTATAATAGATATTGAAAATTATCAAATTACGCAAATTCCCTTTGATGGTGTAATAGAAGCATAAAAGCATGTTACGATTTTATCAATAAAAATAGTACATCAACATACCAACAATTCCATTATTATTTCTATTGTTCCGAAAACATGGAAATAATAATTAAATTTCCACGAAGTAAACTTCAGTTACATATGATACAGGATTGCCCATATTCGACGGACCCATCTGGCAACACCATAACTTTTGACAGAGATGTTACATGTTAATAACATACCGCGTTTGAAGCGTCAGTCCAAGCAGATTTTTACCATGAACTAATACACGCGAACGCACTGAAATAGTTGAAATTTACATTCAACAGAAGAAGTCAATTGTGAAAACTCAACGTGCTTTTAAAACATTAAAAAATGTGAGAAGTGCGCTTTCTAAGAACAACATTAAGCGTTTATACGAAAAATTTTCGACTGGTAAGGCTCTTTCTAATCCGAAGAGGCCATATAAAAGTCGACCAAGGCGATCGGCCGAGAATATCGCTGCCGTACGAGCCAGTGTTGAGAGGTCCCCAAAAACGCCGTTCTCAGCAGTTGGGCATGGCTCGGTCCACTTTACAACGGATTTTTCGCATTGATTTGCATTTGTTCCCGTACAAAATTCAATTGACGCAAAGAATGTTGCCTGCGGACAAGCCTCGTCGATTGGAATGGGCTCAGAGTCATCGAAATGGCCGAAAATGACGAGCAATTTTGGAACAAAATTATCATGTCCGATGAAGCCCATTTCACATTGAATGGGACTGTTTTTACGCCACTGAAAATCCTCATGAGATTCAAGAAGTGTCTCTTCATGACGAAAAAGTCACAGTTTGATGCGGCGTTGGTGCAAAAACGGTCATTGGGCCGTTTTTTTCCAAAATGAAAATGGCCATGCTGTTACCATCAATAAGGAGCGTCATCGCGACATGATGACCAATTTTGTGATGCCAATTATTCGTCGAAAGCGTATGAGGCAGCTCTGGTTTCAACAAGACGGCGCTCCACCGCACACAACTCACATAACAATCGATTTTCTGAAGAATTTGTTTCCGGGCCGTTTGATGTCGAAAAGTGGTGATTTGGACTGGCCGTCCGATTTGTCGCCGCCTGACTTCTTGTAAGTATATTTGAAGTCAAAGGTTTACGTTAACAAGCCAAGGACCGTGGAAGAGCTCAAGAATAACATTCGTGAAGAAATAGCCACTATTTCTGCCGAAATTTTGGCAAAAACGATGGAAAATGCAGCAAAAAGGGCACAATACGTCATCAACGCCAGAGGCGGCCATTTGAGAGATATCATATTCAAAAATTGATGTATACAAATCTACTTGGAACGAATTAAATGATTAACATTGCCAACCGCCAAATTTTTATTTTTTTCTGATTTAAAAATAAAAAAAAACATGGGTCCGTCGAATATGGGCAACCCTGTACCTTCTCATATATTTACATAGTATTTTATCCATTGTATCTTAGATTTTGGACGGTGTTATTTATCTATTATCACTACATTGTATTTATTTTAATATAATATAAAAAATAATAATTATTGTACATAATATACCTTTTTTGTAATGAACTGATCGTCATGTGATTGGTTTTGGAATACATTCATACATATACATAAGTACTATTTCAATATTTTTTTTTTGGTTTTAACTAGACATTATTTTATATAAGGAAAATAATTAAAAAACAAGTATTTTTTTATTGAAATTCATTCGTTGTCAGAAATAAAGAGTATTAGTGTAGAAGAGTAGTAATAGTAGATAGTTGTAGTAGTAGAAGTGGTAGTGATGATAGTAGAAAAACAAGATTAATCAACACACATTCTTTAGTACACAGAAGAAATCCACATATATATAGAGTATAGTATATATAAAAAATAATAGAATTTGGCAAACAATTTTTTTGGTATTTTTGTTTCTTTTTTTAGTAGTAATAACAAAAGGAATGTCGACGTACACTGAAAGTAAACAGAACTCTTACTGAGAAAAAAAAACGAAACTCAAAAAAAATAGAAAATCGAAATTAAAGCCAAGTGAAAAATAAGGAAAATAATGAACAAATTTATGAAAATTTGAGAATGTTTTCAAATCTGTCCCGATATTAGTGTATTAATAAAAGAAAAAGCATTAAGAAATGAAAGTAAACTGGGAATGTGTTAATACTTGTTGTTGTTGTGTTTGTTGTTTTGCGGATAATTGATTTGCTTAGGATTAGTAAAAATGTTAATACACATATTTGTTGTTGTTGTTTTTCGATTTCGCTCTAAAGTACAAAATTTTTTTCTGTTTCACATTTTTACAGAAAAAAATAAGTTTACATAAAATTTTTTAGCATTTGTTCTTCTATATATGTATGTGCATTTATGTATGCTTTTGTTGTATATTCATTCTAGGCTAAATTTTAATAATAAAAATTTAATGGTTTATGGTTTTTTAAGATGCCAACATCTAAATGGAAGCAAACTCACGTTGTACGAGTATCTTCATCAGAGCTACGTCTGCAAAGAGTTGTGAATGTTTTTTTTTGTAAAAAAGGAATAAAATGAATTAAATGAGTATGTAGATTGGTTTTTTAATTAAACTAAATATATGAATATTTGTTAACTAATCTAGATAGATTTTAATATATACTTATTTTATTATTTATTGTCTTGTTTTTTTTTTAGAATAAATAAATAAAAATATTTAGAAATTGAAGCGAATCAACTCCATTTTTATTTAAATGTTATTTACTATAGTATAAACACATACGTTTTATTAATGATTTCAATACTGAAATGCAACTCTGTTTTAAACATTTGGAATTAACGGTTAACTATGTAAATATTTTGTAAATAGCAACAAAAACTACATCACTAATATTACTACCTTTTTTCACACAACTCGTACTAGATTAGAATCTCGCTTCTCAAATATAGTAATTAATGAAACACTTGCAGTTAGCAATGGCCTCCCTCAAGGCTGTGGACTCAGTCCTTTACTTTTTAATACATATACGGCGGAATTGCACAAGATCATTGATGGTTGCAGTCTATTCCAATTTGCCGATAATTTTTTTATTATCTGCTACGACAGTAGTTTTGACATTGCCAAATGTAAGCTCCAGAGTAAAATTCAGGAGTTCAGCCAGTTATGCAACAACTTGAAACTCTCGTTTAACACGGAAAAAATAAGCGTGCTCCATTTCAATAGGCAGCCGAAGCAGCTAAACATCACCATCAATAACAGACAACTGGGTCAAACCAATGTAATTAAATATCTAGGTGTGAACATCATGGCCAGTGGATCTGCTAAAGTACATATGGACGAAAAGTCCAATGCCATCAAATATAGTTGTCAATGTCAAAGGTGTCAAAGAATGCTATAAATGAAGGAACTTTTCTAGAAATGCCATGGCCGATACCTGATGCTATAAATCAGATAGCTAAAGTTTTGTGGCAAGAATGTGGTAGCGAATATGAGGAGATAGCAAGAAATTGTAATTCTCATTTTTATAAAATCTTTCCCTCTCTAACTAGAACACATTGGTTAAAAATTTGTAATCTTAAACCTTCTTCACAAAAGCAGATTAACAGAATCCTAAGTGGGCACTGTTTTTGTAAGAATACGTTAGCCAAAATGAATGTTGTACCAGATAACTTCTGCGAGGACTGCGGGGAACCTGAAACAGCAGCGCATGTAATTTTCAGATGTCGTAAATTTTGTAACAAAAGAAGATGCTTCCCGCAACTATGTGACTCCTTCACAGTAGAAGAGTTCACTGATACACAAGGCTTAGAAAGTCTGAACATTGTGGTCAAATTCCTGAAGGAGATCGAAGTCGACCTGTAAAACACAAACCACCACCTATGGATAAAGTCAATTTTGTAGCTTAAGCTACACATGGAGACATGTCTCTCAACATTCTAACACCAAATATGACGTGAGCCAAGGAGGAGTTAATTGGGAAAAAACCCAAATTTCAATAAAATCACTCTGATTCGTTTAGTGAACACTGAAGGCTTAAGATCATTACCCACGCTTGCCCAAGTTGATGGATTCAGATCATAAGCAGCAAGGCAATTTCTAAACAAGGAGTAAAAAGTTAATCTTGTTTCCAGAAAAAAAGTTATTCGTGATGGAATTTAAGCGTGATAGTGTCATTTCTTTATATTTGGCTGGAAAACCACAAGTGTCTATCGTTAGACTCAAAAGAGCAAAAGATTTGCTTCGCTTAGCCGAAGGTGTCGAATTTGGTTTTCTCCGATAGAAAACATTCGTTGTCCATCAGTTTGTAAACTAGCACAATGTTTACTTGCCTAAGAGGTTAGCTGAAAATCTGCACCTTCGTGGTGATGGTGTGGGCCGCCATAACAGCCGATGGTCGCTCTCCGCTCGTATTAATCGACCTTGGCATCAGAATAAATGTCCAATATTATCGCGAAAATATTCTGGAGGGTGTATTAAAGCCTTGGGCACGCAAACATTTTGGCCGCAGATCTTCCAACAGGACTCAGCACCATCGCACTCGGCACGTGCCACATAAGAATGGTTACAAATTGAGGTTCCTTGCTTCATTTCCAGCGCACAATGGCCACCAAAATCTCCGGATACCAATCCGTTGGACTATTGTGTCTGGAGTATTTTGAAAAGTAAGGTTGGCGCTTCGTTGGGAATGGGCCAAAATACCGCAAAGCAACATTCGGGCAGCGTTTGACGGATTCATTGGCCGAAGGCCATAATTCGTGCCAAAGGTGACCAATTCGAACAAATTTAAACTTATTCTAAAATTTGTTGCTATTTCCGACATTTTTTACTTTCATTCAATAAAATTAAAAAAAATAATAATAAAAATTATGGCGCCTCCCTGTACGGGGAACAGAACTGAATGCTAACGGACGCGACCACATGTTGCGGATAGTGGAAAGCCCAATATTATTCATTGGCTAGCAGTGAATACAACAAAATGACTATGATCCCAGGACTGACGAAAATGGATATTTTTGGAGATCCAAATATCCACCTTCTTACTAACTGACGCTGGGTTATTAGGCGACATCGTATATTCGAACGGAGCCTCATTTTTCAGGCTTAGCTGAGGAGTCCTTAAGTCCTCACTTCAAAACCATTCTACGGTTCCGACTTTTAAATCGGCTCCTTTCGTCTTTGTCTGGAGAGTAACCTCATGAAGATCACCATCGAATCAATAGCACAAGAAATTACCAAACGCGTCATGGCTAAGGAAATCTCTGACAAAAAGATTTATTGAAGATCGTTTAATTTTTGCAACCGCTTTATCGAACGGTATGGGGACTCTATTACCAACAAGGAATTAATTCTGATAAAGAAGAACCTCCAATTCATTGGGGAGTTCTCTCGGAACTGTCCGAATGACATTGCGAAAGACTTCTGAACTGAAAGGAAGAGAAGTCTGTTTGAGTAGCCTGATCATACCCAGGTAGAGGATGGCTGGGACTTCCGTGTTTTGTACACCATCCTCCACTGCGAAGTATGGCAAGGTTGTATCGAAGTCGGCGCCAGGCTTCCTTCTACAGGCCCTCCTAATATCCAAATCCATAGTTATGACAATTGATCAGTGGTTGATGATAAACCAAGGGACAAGTGCTCGCAAAAACTGCGCCAACCTCTGCAACTCTGGGGACCAAATTTCGTACATAACCAATGGATGTAAAGAGAATGAAGTCGTCTGATGAGCAACAACCTGTTGCAAAGAGACGTAGTAGCCTATTTCATAGTGTCGGTAACGTCAAAGGAGAATCCTGCCATGAGCGGTAAAGGTGAGGTGAAAGTCAAACCCATCGTCTTGAAGCTGAAATTCCAGAATCTGATACCAACGCATAGCGATGCAGTTGGATCGAGCCGACTCTGACGGATGTATCAAAGAATGCTTTTCGACTGATAAATAAAGAACCTCTTCCTGAACGACGAAGTTTATTGCAGAACTAAGGAGTCTTGATCCTACTTGGAAAGGTAGAAAATTGGCAGCCGTTGCGTTCCAAGAGATTTCCAGGGTGATGGTGACCTTAATGTGGGTCTAACCATCACTTATGAGACTGGAGAAAACGTTAAGGCTGGTTAAAAAGCATAACGACGGACTTAAGATAAGGAAATGGAGGACTATCACTTCATTAAAAAAAGACCGTATTGTCGCTAAGTTCAACACTGACTCTGCTGGAGAAGACAATCGATACGAATTAAAAAGATTACTATACGGGGATATTAGTTGTACCAGAATCGAACAAGTTTGCCTAGGAGGAAGCCTCTCACTATATAAACTTACAGGAGGATGTTGGAGTAGGACTTTGTGTCATCTGTAGCCATTTATGGCTTCGGAGACAGCGTGTTAATGCACGGATTTCATCGCGGTCGCTATCGACGATCTGTTGACGTCCGATGGAAGTCGTCAGGATATCTCCTGAAGTCCTTACGGAGGTGTCGCGAAGGTGAATCAGCCATTACTGTGTGATGGTTGGAATGGCACGGCACATAGCATACCAGCAGCAACTGTTTAGTCAACAAGTTCTAAATTGACTTCGCATACTGGAAGTGACACAGTAGACTTTGAAGCGTATAATTTTGGATTACACTCCCAGAAGACGTTGGTGATAATGGCTAAGTAGTTGGAAAATTTTACATTCACTGTTAACGCTTGACGAAATAACCGTACAGTCATAGGCGTACGACACCAATGAAACATCTGGTGGAGGAATGGGAAGTTTAGCAAGATATATATTGAACAAAATGGGAGATAGGACACTTAGTTGTTAAGTCTAATATTGACAGTAACGTTAAGGTCGAATAGGGATCCAGTGTTACTTCGCGTGCTAAACTTGTAGTTTTTATTGTTAACGCAGAGATCATGGGTATAAATTATTTCAAATCCCGGAATATTTGCGTGATCAAATTATTTTAATGCTACTCGGAGCTAGTTTATATTTTTTAAAATAAAATACAAGACAATAAATAATATCCTAAGCTATATACTCTGTAACATAGAATATGGTACCCACCTGACATCTCCATTCGAACGCATAGCGACCGCAGCTACTTCAAATAAGCCAATAAAGAAACATAACAATAATGGGCCAAATATGGCACCCTGCCAGCCGATCCAATACATGCCGCCAGCAATTGCCAAGCCAGTTAAATAGGGATGGCCACCACTAGAATGACAAGTCAAAATTATTATTTAATTCTACATTAAAAATTTCTACAACTTACCCCTTCATTTCGGCATAGATGGCTGCCTCAAAGTACGGTGGCACAAAGAATTGCAATAAAAATAATGCAATACCAGCATAAAGACGATCTTGGGCCAACCATAATTCCAAGAGAGCTGGCAATGCACACCAATAAGAACCCAAGAAAGGAGCAGCAGATAAAATCGCAGCCAATGCTGAGGGCAGAAAAACAATACGGGCCCCAAATACGGTATGTACCAGCCATGTAAATAGGCCCGTAAACAGCGAACATTTGAACATTGATATTAGGACGCCAGAAATGGAATTCTCCAGGGCATCAGCAATTTTCGAACCGGATGTAGAGAAACCAATGTATTTGGTTACTTGTAGAGGGGCGTATTTTGTTTGGGAACTCGAGAGCAAATAAAACAAGGCTGTGAAGAAGACAATCTGCAAAAAAGAGAAACAACAAATAAATTTAATATTAATATTAAAAAAAGGTTTCAAATAATTTCTCCTTACCATATCCAATATGAATTCCACACATGCCTGTCCTCCAGACAACACCAGCGATAGAATTTCACCCGTAAATGCCATTATCATCGAGAGATTGGTGCGAATAATGTGCCACAGTGATTCGGCCACTTCCATTATCGTCTGCGTATTGCTTTTGGCCCAGCCAATGATGCCCTGTTTCGCCACTAAAACTAGCTCTTTAAAATGTCCTTTATTAAAAACACATTGCTTTTTGTTAGAAATGATGACATGCAGGGTTAAGCAGAGACATATTTGTTGTTTTTGTTGTACGTTTTTATTTTTATAAAATTTCTTTACACGGGACTTTGTTGAACAGAAACCCAAACAAAAAAATTAAATAAATAAATCCAACCAACTAAAATAATTAATCAAAAGGAAAAATCGAGCCCATATACAACTATTCAATTATTTTTTTTCCAGAAGATTTAAAATATAAAAATATGTTCCCAGGAAGATTGAGCAAGAAGAAATTCTAATTCCGCATTTACAGTATTAGATCCACTTCAAACGTACTAGTTCGTAATTGACTTTGTATACTCTTTGTGTATTCACAATGCAATATTCAGAAGGATAAGACCATAGTATATTTTGAGAAAATACTTACAGTAACTTTCGGATTCGGTTTACGCACATCCATCTGGCAGCCTGTCAATATTGGCGACCCATATTCAGAGTTAGATATATCATATCAGATCATATTTTATCATATATCATATCAGATCATATTTTATCTAAATAATACACAAACGACGCCACGCATATTCGCTTGTCAGGACATTGTGTATAGGAGACCGACTTGAGCTTAGAATGACGTGTTTTAAATTTGCTTTAAATCCCTCCCTACTCCATCAATATAAAATTCCACATTGGCTACCGAACTTATTATGAAATGACATATGTCGATTAAATTTTTTTTTTAAATATTTTCATCTCTCCAAAGACGCGTCGTCGCGACGCTGCCTACGTCCGATCGACCCGGAAAACTTTACGTAAATGACTGAACTGATTGTAGAATGAAGTAATCATGTTGTTCAACATACAGCATGTTCAATATAAAGGCTTATCAATTTCGTGGTTTCAAAATATTGGAACTAAAAATTGTCAGTGTTCCCTCGAAGGAACATTGACATGAACTTGAACGAATTTAAATATGTGATCTTTATCTATAAGTTAACCTACTCACAATCCATACACATGCCTTTCTACAACCTATGCAAAATTTCATTTTATTCGGGCAGATTTAGAAGCTTGGTACAATAGAGCTGGACTATCTGATCAAAGTTCTCGAGTAATCGATGTTGGTAATTCCTGATATTTGGAAAGTTGCCCGGACTATTACAATTTTAAAATCCAATAAATCCGCTACTAATTGGGAATCCTACTGCCCGATTTCTCTTCTTTCACCAGTGGCCAAGTTTTTAGAGTCTGTACTGCTTCCGTCACTGAAACGACATTTTGTTCTTGCAACCCACCAAACACGGTTTCAGGGATCATATAGCACAACAACGGCTTTGCAGGAAATTACTTTCAAGATTGCAAATGCCCACAAATCAGCGAAGATCCCCCTGAACGGGCCATTGTGACAGCCTTGGATCTGTTCAAGGCGTTTGACACGGTCGATCATTACGAGCTGATATTCGACATCACAAATTTGGCTTGCTAACTACCTTAATGGGCGGCAAGCCTTCGTTGAATTCCGTGGCCAAAAATCCAAATATCGCAAGATCAAAATGTGAGTACCGCAAAACGGTGTCCTATCTCCCATTTTGTTCAATATGTATAGTGCGAAATTCTTATTCCTCCACCAGATTTTTCAGTAGTGTCGTACGCCGATGACCGTACGATTATTTCGTCCGGCGTTAACATTGACGACGGAAGTGCAAAATTTTCCAACTATTTAGCCACTATCACCGACTTATTCCGAGAGCACAATCTAAAATTATTCACTGCACTGTCTATTGTGTCACTTTTTACTTCCTGAACGTGAGAAGTCATTTTAGAACTTGACATCTCAATTGATGGTAGGCGCATTCCCACCGTCCATAATCCGAAAATCCTTGGTGTCCTTCGATAACCTCCTTCATTTCTCCTCGCATTTTAACTAAATCAATCAGAAGGTGAAAGCTTGGAATAAAGTTCTGAAAGCTTTGGCTGGCACCTCCTGAAGAAGAAACGTTAGTAACGACACACAAGGTCACAGGTCGTTCCATCCCCAGTCTGGACTTCTTTCCTTAGCGACACGCAACCAACTCAAAATAATGCACTATAAATTGCAACCGACTGTGTGTCCAGATGACGAGCGTCGATCACCTCCATGAAGAGACCAGGATACTGTCAGTCAAGCAATATAATGTGTTGTTGACCAGACAGTGATAGCACATCCACCTCCGCGACACATCCATCAGGACTTCAGGCGCTATCGTGATGCCATCCAAGACATCATTCCATCGGACGTCAATAGATTGTCGATAGCGAAAAATGAAATCATGCATAAACTGGCGGTCTCCGAAGCCATAAATGTCTACAGATGCAATCAAGTCCTACTCCAACATCCTCATGCATTATAATGAGTGACATTATAATGAAAATACATCATAAAAATATGTATGTTTATTTTGAAACCACGAAATCGATAACCCTCTACTTAGAACACAATTTTTTGAAGATAAGACTCTCAAATCTCACATGCAACGCTGATAAGATAGTTCTTGTTTTTTTTTTATTATTAAAATTTTGTGAGACACATGATGGGACAAGTAGCCACAGATCCAATTATATTCATTTCTATTTTCAAAACAAAGACTTTATTGATTAAAGTATTTGAGACTTTAAACACCATCTGAAGTGTGAAAGGTTGGTTTTTTTCTCGCAGATGCATATTTCGATTTACAAGAAAATTTCCAAATGGGTTTACATTAAAAAAATCCAACCCCAAAATCTTGTTGCACAGTGTAAATTAATTTTCTAATGAAATTTCCATATACTTGAATGATTTTGTTGAAATGTGGGTAATATGTATAATACCAAAAAATATATATCTGTGGTTTAATGAGAAAACAAAAAGTGAATTCCCTCCTTCTATAAAATGATCTTTATTAGATTCTTAAATATTATATCAGTATCATATACGGGAGTCCCAAGGAGGACTTATAGAGAAGGAAATCTTCCCTGTAATATTCAAAATTAGTTACACACACACACAAATGTGTACATAGATGATCACACGATTATCCCAATAAATGTCTAATATAATAGAATTTTAATATATTTAGCATTGTATGATAATGTTGACTAATGTAAATGAATATTTGCAATAAGATTGATGGCCATTACCATTCCATATTAAAAAGGGCTGCCATTATCAATTTCTCAAATGAGACAACCTTTCATAATTATACCATGGCTCAGTGTTTTCAATTTCAATTTATTTCATAAACGAGAACTTTAAACTTTATTACATGGACTACTCCTATAGAAAACCAGTAAGGAAAGTAGTAAAGTCGGACTGGGCCGACTATATGATACCCTTCACCACTTTGGGTATATTCAGCGTATGTATCCTAAAGTCGAAATTATATATGGAAGCTATGCTATATCTATATCTAAACCGATTTCAAGGAAACTTATCAGAGATTAATTTATATTAACTTCAGTACGTTGTGTCAATCGGCCTAGCTATGGATCTTTACTGCACCATTTACTTAAAATCGGACGGAAATATATATAGAGGTTTATGTAAATCTAAACCGATTTTCACGAAACTTTGCACACATCATTCTAGATTTAAATCAGTACGCTATCCCAAAATCGAAAGATATATGGGGACTTTGTTGCACTATTTACATAAAATCGGACGAAAATATATATGGCAGCTATATCTTAATCTGAACCGATTTCCACGAAACTTTGCACACATTATTCTAGACTTAATTTAGTACGCTATGCCAAAATTGGTGCAAATCGAGAGATTTTGAGGGACTTTGGTGCACCATTTACTAAAAATCGGGCGAAAATATATATGGGAGCTATATCGAAATCTGAACCGATTTTCACAAAACTTTGCACACGTCTTTCTAGACTTAATACAGTACGCTAGGCCAAAATTGGTGCAAATCGAGAGATTTTGAGGGACTTTGGGGCACCATTTACTAAAAATCGGGCGAAAATATATATTGGAGCTATATCTAAATCTGAACCGATTTTTACGAAACTTAGCACACATCATTCTAGACTTTATTCAGTACGCTATGCCAAAATTCGTGCAAATCGAAAAAATTCCAGGGACTTTGGTGCACCATTTACCAAAAATCGGGCGAAACTATATATGGGAGCTATATCTAAATCTGAACCGATTTTCACGAAACTTAGCACACATCATTTTAGACTTAATTCAGTACGCTATGCCAAAATCCATGCAAATCGAATGATTTTCAGGGACTTTGGTGCACCATTTACCAAAAATCGGGCGAAACTATATATGGGAGCTATATCTAAATCTGAACCGATTGGCACACATCATTTTAGACTTAATTCAGTACGCTATGCCAAAATTCATGCAAATCGAATGATTTTCAGGGACTAAAGTCCGTAAATCGGACAAAAATATATATATATGGGAGCTATATCTAAATCTGAACCGATTTTTCCTGTGCCAAATTTCAGCCAAATCGGATTATAAATGCGACCTGTACTTTGTTTACAATTGAACATCAACAGACGGACGGACAGACATGCACAAATCGACTCAGAAAGTGATTCTATGCATATTCTCAAAAGGAACCATGGGTCTATCTCGATTCCTTTTGCCTGTTACAGACATATGCACAAAGATATAATACCCTGTACCACAGTGTGGTGAAGGGTATAAAAAATCCTGAAACCAAAAGCTCAGTCAGTAATATTTCTTATAGGAAAAAAACTTTAACTCTAGTCTTTTTTTAAGGACCCAAATCCTGCGACCTTATGCCTTTTTAGAGGCAAAAATCTGAGACCCATATTGTTGGAAAATAATTGATGGAAATAACAATTTCTGAGATGCCTAAAGTTTGTTCTTTCGAAAACATTTTGAAGCCCTAGAAATGTTTTTTCTATAGAAATGCAAGAGATGCATCCTAATAGACATCGCATTTTAAATATATGATCTGTGCCTATATGTGAACCGAATTAACCCTACGATCAATAACCGGGTACATTTGTATCTTTTTATAGCCTCCACAATAGTAAAATTTTTCATAGACTTGTCTTTTTCTGCAGACAGGTCAAGTTCGAAGATGGGCTATATCGGTCCACGATTAGGCATAGCTCCCATATAAGGGTACTCCCGTATTTTCGGTATATATATATATATATATGGTAGATATGGTTTCAATTTCAATATGGTTCTTCCAGACAAATAAATGATCTGTGCCAAATTTCATCTCATTCGGATAATAAATGTGACTTGCACTTTATTTACAACTTAACATGGAAGACGGACGGACATCCAGGGAGATTTAGTTTTCTATCCTGATTCTCTCGGCTCAGTTTTCTTTTGTCTATAAAAAAATTGTAACATCCTAATCTCAGCGATTTTTTCCTTTATTTTTGTACATTTTCCTATGGAAAAAAAAAGATAGCCTAAATCTTCACATATATACCAGGCTAAACAAAATAAGATCTTGAAACCCCTAAAGCCTATAACTAGCATATGAAAATTTCTGTTATGGATTAGCATAAAGTCGTCCCTTATTAAAATTATTAAATGTTCTTCAATCTATGGTATATTCTTTAGTTCTAACATATCTACTGATTCATTAGTCCATTTATTGGGCAAGATAATGGAAATTCTAGAGGCGCAAAGAAATCTCTTAAAATTATAAATCAAAGCTGCTCTGTGTTGTTGATGACAAATGGAAATGGAAGACCAAATAATGATGATAATTTTATTTTTGCCCCAATGGATGTATACATGAGTGTACGAATGTGAGAATGTGGGTTAATACAATTCGCAATGTGTATTTGGTATTTAACAAAAAAAATGGTTAACAAAACTGAACAAAAAAAAAAAACAAAAAAGACAAACTAAACCAGTGAGCGGAGCAGTATAGTCGGACGGGGCCGACCATACGATACCCTACACAACTACCACGAAAATCTAACTTTCTTCGGATTTTTATTCCGAGTCTGAGTAATATTTCGTGATATTTGCCCCCTCTTGTCCGATTAGAGGTTAACAACACCTCTTCCTTATTATTTTCGAATATTCAGTACAGTCCTTCTAATTACTTGTCCAGATTACCTTCACGGTGGGTTGTGTTGTGATTTTTGGATTATACTCTACTCGAAAACACACAAAAAATTATATTCTCCGTCCATTTCATCCTAAAATTTTAATCTGATCATCACCGAAAATTATAGGCGTTGTTCTTGACCATAACTGGAACCTCATGAACAATTTCAAAGCCATCAGCGCGATATTTCTCCCTCTAATGTGGTAATGGGTTACTAAATAATATCTGAATACGTAAGCACCTGTAAATATTTGACTGTAACTCCCACATCTGAGTAGATACATCACTATATTTGGTATCAATTTAAAGGCCAACCACTCCTCTTGGATATGCTATCAACTCCTGGGGTCTACATCCTCCAGGAGTAAATATATATGCCATAGAATACAAATTTTGTCATTTTTCACACAAAAGTCAGGGTCCATTTGACCCGCTAAATATTGACCGATCTTTATCAAAACATGCATGCTTATTCTCTGGCCCGATCCCCTTCTCCATGCAAAAATTCGCGGTGTTTGGGCCATAATTGCGGCCTCTGGAGCGACCAGAAAAACCGACAAAAATTTAGTATTTGGTCCATTTCATCCCCTAAATATTAACCGATCTTTTCCAAAAACAATAGGGGTCTTCATTGGCCAGAACCCATCCTACATGCAAAATTTCGTGAAGATTGGTCCATAACTGTGGCCTGTATCGTGTTTACAAATTATAATGGACAGACGGACGGACGGACGGACGGACGGACACACATGTCTAGATCGACTCAGCTAGTCGAGATATGACGATCGGTATACTTAAAGGTGGGTCTAGGACCAATATTTCGCGGCGTTACAAACATTTGGGGCTGCACAAAGCTATAATACCCTGACAACATAGTTGTGTAGGGTATAAAAACCAAAGCCCCCAAAATGATAAAAAGAAATAAAAAAAATAAAACCAAATCAACTTACCAGGATTATCGACAATTTCACCGAATGTTGTTTTTAGAGCATCTGTTGGGACTCGGGGTCCATATGAATCTGATTTATTGAAATCTATCCAATATTGTATTAACCGATCCCATACATCCAGTATTTGTTCCTTCAGCTTTGTGGCATGTACCGGATCAGCATCGGTTAACCAATCATCTATGTACGTCTCAATTTTACGCCGACCATAATGATGAGCATTATCTAAAGCATCATCTAAGGAGGATTGAATATTCGCTGGTAAGATGTCAATTAATTCTGGACGATCGGTAATGGTTTTATTAATTAAATCCTTGCCCAAATAGGCAACTTCTATTGTTTCCGAATAGATGTTAACACAGAAGAATACACCCAAGAAAACGATAATTAAAATCATAAGAATTATCATGAGAATGGAGGTGACCAAATCCACAGATGATTTCAGGGAATTGCGTATAATGCCATTGATTTTGTAATTTAATTCCAAGACACCGGGTAGACAAAGTGGCAGGACGGCTGAGTGATGTTCAATGGCCCAGGTCTAAGAAGAAAAGAGAAAGATATACAAGGTGATCACAATGATCTGAAGAGCCACATTGGAGAGTCAAATCTTACCTTAATTTTATTATAGATATCATTTAATTTCTCAGCCACAAAGTCCGTAAATCCCGTATAGATACCCAATTGATAGAGCAGATGCATAAACATCGGTATCAGCGCCAATATAAACATCCAGACATTGCGATACAAAAATGTAGCCATACAGGCATAGAATAAAAATTTAAAATATGTTCCACTTATATGGCTGCCCTCCTCATCATCCTTATGATCGACATGATCTTCATAGGCCTCTAATGTTTCCATTGAATCCATTGTTTCACTAAACGAAACATCGTCAATATCTGAATGGATGCTTTGTTTTTTATTCGACGACGACAACCGCAAAGAGTTAATGGATTTTTCAAAATCTGAACGATCCAATAGTTTTTTGATTTTCTCCACCATTGAACTGGACTCTTCGGTATTTTGTAAATGATAGACTATCGAAGCGCCCACATACAGCATAATAAGTAGGAAGGCCGGCACCTGTAAGGCTCCCAAAAAGCTACAACCATACGAGACAATGGCAATCCAAAGAGATTGTCCGGCAATTACAAAACGATTGCTATTCGATTCACGCCAAAAGAAATAGACGGAGGTTAAGTAGACTGCAATTATGGCCACCAACTAAAGAGAGAAAAATATGTATTAAAAACTTTTATATTTCAAATTGTTGTTCTCACCACACTTACCAAATATATATTCAAATAGCCAATCAATTGCACAAACAGCGAATGAGAGAATACAACCAAGCGCCAAATGGCACACAGGAATCCTTTGGGTGCATATAAGACCAATAGTTTAATGCATGATGCAATACCCACACCGGCCGTAATGACTTGCCAATGTTCCTTCAGCCAATTAACCAAAAAGCTGCCACAACTTTCGGTGGCCTCCAGCGGTGCCAAACATAGAGAAACAAATACGTTTGAATCTCTTTCTTCGAGTTTTTCAAACCAATTATTCAATAATTGAGCCAATTTTCGTTTAAATGGAAACAATACGGCACCCATTAAAAAGGCCCATAGCAATGGTCGTACAAAGGGGCCGAGTATAAAACATACCGCCACAAATGCTGCAACACCGGCTGCGATAAGGAAATTATACATTGCCGCCTTAAAGCTTTCATGATTCTGCGAGCGAATGCGCATTAATTTATTCAATACACTATCGAAGGAACGATCCCTTCGTATTGAATCGGATCGATGCATTATGAAGTAATTTTGAATTCTTTTTTATTTTGTGTTTTTGGTAATTAATTCAATCTTGGTTTTGGTATGAAGTTTTATTGTGTTGAACTGAAAAGAATAATTTTAAAAAATTATAATGAATATTCAGTTTATGGGTGCAATTATTTTTTGTAATAATTATATTTTTTATTGGAGTTGTTGCATGTAATTATAATTATATTAAAACCAAGGTGATTTCAATCAAAATTCTCCCAGCCCTTTTAAATGCCGTACTTCTCAAGGTAAGCGCATCTAATAAAATATTTTTTGCGACCTGATCAGTTGAACTGGTTCATTATACAGGATTCCGGGGACTGAATTTGAGAACATTGCTTTATCCGGATCTTGCTTGTGTCAGAGTTGAGCTGGTTTACCTAAGAAGAATCATTTCACTGTCTGAAATAGAAGGAGGATGTTGTAGTGGGACTTTGTTCCACCTGTAGCCATTTATGGCTTCCGAGACCGCCTATTGATGAACGGATATCATCGTGTTCGAATCGACGATGTGTTGCCATCCGATGGAATGACGTCTTGGATGCCTTCAGGATAGCGTCTGAAGTCTTGACGGAACTGAATTAGAATTATATTAAAACCAAAATGATTTAAGTCAACATTTTCCCAGCCATTTTAAAAATAGAAAAGGCGTACCTCCTCTCAAATGCACATGTGCCCATTTACGGCATCCGAGACCGGCTATTGATAAACGGATATCATCGTGTTCGATATCGACGATCTGTTTACATCTGATGGAATGACGTCTTGGATGCCTTGACGATAGCGTTTGAAATCCTGAGGGATGTGTCGCGGAGGTGGATCATCACCAGCAGTAACTGTCTAGTCAAACACACTTTATGTTGCTTGACTGACAGCATCCTGGTCTTCACATGAATGTGATCAACGCTTGTCATCTGTACACACCCGGTTGCAATTGGGAGTGCATTATTTTGAGTAGTTTGCAAGGATCTCCATTGTGTGTCGCTAAGGAATGAAGTCCAGGACATGCAGCCCCTGTCTTTACCAACGATTCTTTATTCTATATTCATTATTTTTTTGTGGATAGATTTGGTACCAATTAAGAACTTATAATACTGAAAATTATAGGGTAACGTTATATGGGGGCTACCAGAAAAGTTGATCTATATTTTTTATATTGGAGATATTTGGTACAAATAAGAACCCAATGTACCTAATTTTAGCGAATTCGTTATAAAAGCGTTTAGGAACCCCAGAATACCCTTATATGAGAGCTATGCCTAAACATGGACCGATATATCCCATTTTCGAACTTGACCTGCCTGCAGACAAAAGGCAACCCTATACAATATTTCTGCACCCTATCTCAATTCCTTCAGAAGAAGCGTCATTAAAACTGATGGACGGACAGGCATGGCTAGATCGTCTTAGAATTTTACTCTGATCAAGAATATATATACTATATAGAGTCGGAAATGAATATTTCGATGATTTACAAACGGAATGATAAAATTAATATATCCTCCATACAATGGTGGAGGGTATAAAAATAAAACTGTCGTATGGCACATATATTTCTGACTGGCCATCTCGGGTCATTTTCTTTGGAAGCATAATTAAAATTCCAAAGCGTATTCCAAAATTCATCGTCTTTTTTATATAAAAATAGTTATATGATTTGTTACGCGTTTTGTAATCATTCTACGGAGGATATCGAGATAACAAATTAGAACGTGAGGTTCGACAATGAACTATATAAAACCTGTGGTGAAGGGCTTATATAACTGTAACCTCTAAATTGCAGTATTTTGGGGATGTTCCATCCTACCATGCGTCGCCTCCATATAATGATAATTTCTGAAGGGAAGAATTGAGATACATAAGAAAAATATTGGGTTCGAAATTGACATATATAATGTTAACCACAAATATTCGCTAATTCCTACACTATATAATCAATATTGGTCCCCCTTTAGGCAATCTAAATAGCAGTAGTTTGAGAATTGTATATTCTACCATTGATTATTAGTATCAGTCCACGTATTGAGGTTTTCAGATTTTAGGAAAAATCACCATTAAAAATTGCTGAAATGTTTATTTGGTGTACACAATGGTTTACATAAAACCGTTTGTAGAATTATCGGTATAGGTTCTTTTTGGTATTTTCCCTATATTTTCATTTCAAATACCTGTCAGTATACCTATGTTCGGACCGGCCGAACTTAACGTTTTTTTTTTATGTTTTATAAACAATTCATCAACGCGCCATTTAGTATTACTAAATGCTACCACCAACACCTAGCTACTACATACTTTGCCCGTCTGCTCTTCGGAATTGATAAAGTGCAGTCGCAGCGATGTGGGTTAGGCTCTTACAGCTTGACAAAACACATCTGTTAACCAACCTCTAAGCAACATTTAGACAGTACTGTTGTTCACATATCTCCACGCATAGACAAATGTTATCTATAAAAACACAACACATACGGAAATTGTGCGATTCCGAATAAAAAACCAGTTAGTTAAACACGCTAGTTAGCTAGCGACTCAACAACCCAATATTTCAAATAATTTGCTGAGACATTTTCCTAACGGTCAAGGTCGTAGTATCGTGTTAAGTGGTAGTAAAGTAAAACAGGTGCGTTTTTTAATTTGCTTCTACTTTACAATTGAAACTATGGAGTGCCCCCTACTTGAAATAATTTTCTCGAATAATTATCAAAAAGCGATAAGAACCACAAATGGCTTCATTATAATACATTCAAGATGATGATGATGACGACGATGTTATTATTGTTCACCCAATACGCTTACACAGTAACCACACCCGCAGCAATCAATTCATATTTTTATTTTTGTTTATAGATTTTCGAATAACATTTTCACTTACCCAGCAATTACAGTTCAAATCGATTTGAAATTATCATCGAAGTTGTTAGTATCCACTAAATGTTATCTTGTCTTAGGGTCGAACTAATAGCAAGATAACAACATTGCTATGGGAGTTTTGGGGACTGGGGCTTCAAAGTAATTTATTTACTTTTTTCCGATCACAATCTCTTTGGAATCTGGTCCAAAAAAGCTACGCATTTACTGATCCGTGCTAACAAATGTTTCTTCTGCCACTGACTAGTTTATAATTAGATACATATACATGTTTGGAATGAATAACAAATTCGTTGCTTCATTCCTCTACATAATATGACGTCACTTTTCTTCTTCAAAAGTTTTGTATTGGATTGGCCAACGCGACGATATTACTCCTGCGGCACACTTGAGAACTTATTATTATTCTTTAATCTGAAATCATCACAAATGATCTTTTGATTATTACACAAACATTCCAAATTGTTTTTTATTTATTTACATTAAATATTGGATTGATTCAATTTGGTTTCCACTTCCGAATGCCTGCTAATTATCGTTCCAACTGGTAAAAATTGCCTCTTGTTTAGAATAGAAAATAACCGAACTTCTACAAAAACGTTCCCAACGTTACGAATGTGCAGAATACGAAAAACGAGCAATAAATATGAGTATAAAGCAAAAGGAAGTCTACTTATTTGTTTACGAATACACGACAAAGAATAACGACCGTTTGTAGCTTTGTTTACGAATGGAAAATAAAGAAAAAATATCAGCTGATATTTTAATAACAAAGTCGACCAGTTTTGCCGGCGGCAAATATGAAAATTACGTTTTTAAGGTCTATTAAACAGGTTAACCAGAAAACAATTGAAATGGGTCATTGAGACAGCAACAAGTAGTCTGTTCCCAAACTGCAAGAATCTAAAACTGTTTTTATGATAAGGCTACGTTTAGATTTACGAAATCCACTCGATCTCAAATGTCAATTCCATAGCGTACATGTCATATATAATCCACTGGATTAACATGACATATACGCAATGTATACGATTGACATTTTTTAAACAAATTTATTTATTTTTCATATCATTTAAAATTGAAATGAGACTACCTTCTACTACTAATTTTGCCGGACCGAACTTTGGATACACTCCACCATAGGTATACTGACAGACACTTGAAATTAATATATAGGGAACTTGCCAAAAAGTGAACCTATACCGATAGTTCTACAAACCGGTTTATGTAAACCATTGTGTACCCCAAATATAAATTTCAGCAATTTTTAATGAAAACCCCAAAGCGTGGACTGATACTAATAACGCATGGTAAAATATACAATCCTCAATTTAGATTACAAAATTAAATTACATAGTGTTGGAATTAGCGAATATTTGGGGTTATAATTATATAAAGGATGCCTAAATGCTGGCCGATATATTTCATTATCGTCAGGTTCGTATTTTTTATCAAGATTTCCTTAGAAATTGGAATGAATACAACCGATGGCTAAATCGTCTTAGAATTCCATCATTTGTAGGGTAAAACTGACTATTTCGAGTAACGATTATCCCCTATACTATAGTAGAATACGCCTATATGGGGACAACCTCCACACACGGAAGTAATCAGCTAACTATTTTAATATAAGAAGGGAGTTATATGGGAACAACCCTTAAAAGGGGACAAATATTAATAATTTTTGGTAGATTTGTTACCATATGCGACTATAAAATACCAAATTACAGCGAATTCGCTCAGGTACCATAAAATACCGAAAATTGAGGGTGTCTTATATGGGGGCTACCCGAAAAAATGGGCTTATATTTATAATTTTTAGTGAGGAAATTTGGTACCCAATAAGAACCTATTGTACCAAATTTCAGGGAATTCGGTTTAAAAACGCGCTAAAACTCCCCAAAATACCCCAAAAAGGGGGGGTTACGGTTATATGTGGGCTACCGATATTTATAATTTGTAGTGGAGATATTTGGTACCCAAAATGATCCCAATGTACCAATTTCAGCGAAATCGGTTGAAAAATACCGAAAATTGGGGGCGCCCTTATATGGGGGCTACCCGAAAAATGGACCGATATTTATAATTTGTAGTGGAGAGATTTGTTGCCCAAAAATAACTCAATGTACCAAATTTCAGCGAAATCGGTTGAAAAGC